ATGTTGAGGTGAGAGTCCCTATCGGGGACAATACCCAAACCCGAAGGTATAAGAGCTAAGGCCTGAAGGCACAGGTTTGTTAGGACCTGCCACCTGAAATAAGACTGAAATGAGAACATGCACACGCACAGACCCATACACACCTGCCTCCTCCTGGCTCTTCATTCAAGGTTTCTAAAGATAAGATGACCTAGTTTCATAACCCAGTTTAACCCCATCCCGCGTGAAGACTCTGTTTCCCTAATCTTGTCCCTGAACAAAGTGGTGAGGTGGTGTATAACTGTGTAATGTTTCTACCTGCCTAAGAGAAAGCACTTCTTTTCTTAGCATTGGCAACTAGAGGAAAGAAAATATGGTCTGGATTTAGAATCTGGCTCTGTTTGTGTTGAACCTATTTTCCACAGCCCTCAGGATTGGAGGAAATTTTCCAAGGAGGGAGGAAAAAAAATGAACTGAAATTAAAATCGACATTAAAACCAACACGCCCTTTAAGAAAGATCTGGATGGCTTTTCCACCATTACTTTGAAAGTTGTTTTAGGCAGTATAATGGGCAAAAACAAATTATAAAACAGTGGAGAGAGAGTAAGACCCGCCTCCTTTCTCCCTGCTATCATACTGAAAAGCAGAAAGAAATCTCTAAGTACAAATTAAGTCTCCACCGTAGAATCAGGCATGCAACATTTAAGAGAAGACACACATTATCTATACAACAGACATACTTCTGAATGATCTAACTCACTCTAAACTGGAAACTTGGATTCCAGCCCAGGGGATGAGAATATTTTTTTTTCCTTTTTGAGTATTACTCCCTTTCTGGCAATTTAGCTTGTCTTCCCCCAAACTGGCTCGGCCAATGTGCATGACATGGTGTCCATGGGAGCAACCCTTGTAGGTTGTCACCATGAAGGTGAAGAGGGGGTAAGTTGGGAGGGATGAGATCAGACCACTGTTGTGCTTTAAGACTTAACACAACGCATCATACCAGGAAAGAGATTTTAAAAGAGTTACCTGGGATTCAAATAGCATAAACCCATTTATTTTTCAAAAAGCAGCTTTGGACTCTTTGTCTACCAATCCTTTCAGGAACTGGAGATTATCTAAGGCTGGTCAACTCCCAGTAAAATGTCCCCTTCTCACTGACTGAACAGAAAAGCTGCAATCAATTTGTCCCCTGACATCTGCAGCCAGATAGCAGGTAGGGCTACGATGCTGTGCTCTCCACTGTGAAGAAGAAAAACCAAGCAGAAAACACTGTCCCTTCCTTCAAGGAGCCTGAAATTGAACTGAGGACCTCGAATAAGAAAGCAACTAAAACCCACTAATTTGGTTCTAAGGTTTAAAAGACAGTGCACCGTGGGTAGAGGTACTGTGAGGAAACAAAGCAAAAACTGAGTAAGATAAACAGAATTAGTTCAGTTGAAAAGATGAGCATGACCTGTCACAGAGCAAGAGAGGAAATCTCTATAGGAAAGAGCAATTTCCACATGTGTCTACTATTGTCAATAGAAGGCTCAGGTGCCATAGTGAAGACTGATTTGGCTACTCTCCACACATCAACATTCAGGGTTCTATCCCTGACATGCATGGAGGGGCAGGCTTATGCTCAGGCTGCTGGAGTGCATGTTCATGAAGAGTCACCAAGAAAATGAGCTCATGTGAGACAGAGAATCTGGTAAGTCATAATAACTATTTGAGTAAATCACAGCACTGACTTTGAGGACCAGCTAAAAATAAAAGAGGCATAATATATATCACTAAGTAAGGAAATGAGACTATAAATACTTGAAGGAAATAAGTCTGTGTACCCAACACGTCAAACCAATTCCTACAATAGTATACACCTGGCCAAAGTACACAGGTGCCTACAGTCTAGGCTCACCAAATCAGGCACCCCCACCAGTAGGCTGCTCCTCAAAGCCCTTTGCACAAAGATATTTAGGAAACAGCTGTGCCCCTTTCTGAAGACTTTGGCATGAAGTCAAAACAGGATCCCTTTGGGATTCTACAATAAGTATAAATGTAGGGACTAAGGTTTCATTCCAGCTTTTTATTCACCCTGAATTGTCTTGCAACTTCAGATGCACCATGAACAGCTTCGGTATCTGCTTTTTCACGGGTGAAATGCAGAGAGGGGAGGTGACATAAGTCAGGGGGTCAAAGTCCTATAGACCTTTGAGATGATCCTCATTCCTCTAAGCCCTCCCCCTCATTTGGGAGACACATACAAGGCTCCAAACCAAATCAGAGATCAGTAAATAGCTAAGAGTGAGTAAGTGAAGATTGATCGTTTTCAGTGCCTTTAGTCCAGAAGAGTGGGCTGATGGAGGCGGAGAGGTGGTCATGCTGTTTTTCCACAGGGGGCCAGGCAGGGGGTGGGATGAGGGAACAGCAGAGACAGATCCAGCCAGTGGCCTGGGCTTAGGACTTTTAATCAGAACAAAGAAAATCCTGGTTCAGCAACTTGAACAGACCAGCAAACCTTAGGTGACATAAATGAAACTGGTGAAAGCACATTTGTTAGGAAAAGCCAAAAATTGTGAAGCAAGGGCAAGTCTTAGCAAAAAAAAAAAAAAAAAAAAGCTTTAAAATGTTTTAGGCCATCTGCTTCTTCCTCTCTTCTGAGAAAAAATGTTTTACATGATCATAATAAGGAACTGTAGTTGCTGGTCACTGTTTGGCTTCGGTTCACTAACAGCAATATCAGCCCACAGTTCATTTTTTTTTTCATTGTCACATCTTTAGAGCTCCTTGCACGTCAGATCTTCAAATATGCCCTCAGATGGAGTGTCTTCAGAGAAGGCTTTCAGCATTCCCTCCATTGTTAAATATCCCCAAAGTGTTTCCTGCCATGCCATAATTTCACTGGGGCACCATGACAGGGCGCCCACCATCAAAGGAGAGGGAGGAAGAAAGAACTTAGTTCTTACTTGCTCTTCCCTTCCTATGTAGTACAGCCTCCCACCACTAGCCCAAAATACCATTCTGATGAAATATTAGAGTGCATACATCTCTACGGGAATCAGAAAATAATACCTTCTTGCCAAGCTTCAGCCCAAGCAGGACACTTCTTTTTAAAAGCCTTTTCTGATAACTATTTCCACCGTCAAATAGGGATGGAGCATCCTTCCTGGTGCTCCATGACTCTGGGCCCCTCTTTTCCAGGTGCCACCACCCTATATGCTTGCTGTTGACTTCTTGTCTGCCACCTGCTTCCCAAGCTTCTTGAAGGCAGAAACCCCATCTTCCTCCCCTCAGAATCCCAAGGAACCAACGCAGGCTCTAGCGCAAAGCAGGGACTCAAATGTGTGATGAATTAATGAATTCATCCATTATTTTCTTTCTGACTAAATAAATCTGCAGGCTGCACCGTTTACAAAGAACTTTCACACTTACTGCCATGTTTGATCCTAATAACACCCAGGAAGTCTCCCTTAGAGAGGGGCCACAACTGTCCCCGTCTACCGATGAGGACACTCAGACTGAAAGAAATCAAGTGACTTAACTAATGTCACACATGGGGCAAAAGGATTAAATGACTTTTTCTATGTCAACAATTTAAACTATCCTTCATTAGAATCCTGCTTCTCAGATAGGGTCCTACTACTTTAGGTCAGAGGATTGTTTCGGCATCATGAACATTAAATCCACTGGTCTGGGTCCCTGACTCACAACGTTCTCATAACTGGACCAGAAATGTTGCTCTTTGATCTTATTTATCTGCTTGTTTATACATTTAATTCTTTTTGATTATATAAACACGGGTATGAATATATTCTATATTCCATTACGATTTAAGAGTTTACCGAGTAACTGGCCTGGAATAAAGGGAAACTCCAGGAAACGAGCATTCTTCCTGAGCACCAATGCAGCATGTGCAGGTGCCACCAGAGCATTCTCAAGACTCTTATCAAGGAAGAAGCTGCATCTCAATTAAGTCCAATCTTCTGCCAGGTACTTCATAAAGGTAGGCAGCATACATTGGCATGTGTCCAGAATGTAAAATAAGAATGTCAATTAAGTGTGTGCTTGGGAGAGAGGGAGGATTGTTTTAATATAAAAGGACATTAAATCATGACATATGGGCTAAAAAAATATTTTAATTAGAAAAAAAAAACAACTCTTTTCCCACCCTGCCATGCTCTTTCGTATGGGAGAACATGAATTATCCTCACTGTTCAATTCAGCCACAAACGCTAAACAAGAATCACCATCAAGACAAGACTGGCAGAATTTTAGGGCAGCCCTACTCTACCTTCAAGCTGCTCCCTACATTCATCCCTTCAGGAAGAGACAAAGCCTTTCAGTCCACAGTGATAGATGTCTTTGATCAAGAACTTGACTCACTGAAAAACCTCAATAAATGTATTCTGATGTATTTAAGAACTTCAGAATGCAATCTTCAGCTCATGTTAATAGTTTCTGTGGATGTCTTTTGGTTAAAATTGGCAACTATACCCAAGCCACTGATACCAGACCCATCTCCCTTTGTGTTGGGGCAGAAGCGTATCAGACAGGAGGGCATGAAGTACCTAAAATGTAAAATGAAATCATCTTCTGTCAGGGAAAAACAAACAAACAAACAAAAAACCCAAAAAACAAAAAAGCAAGCTCCTAAAAGGAAAAGAAGGCAGTTTGAGCTGAGGAAATTAAGCTTAGATGACACGAAGTTGCTAAGGGTAAGCTCTATTCATCGTCAAGTTGGCAAGAACAATAGAGCATGTGGCACAGAGATACTTTTTATCTCACAGCTGCAAACCCAGGCAGTAGCACCTCAAACGATTCATGGAGTTTTTATTCTAGTCTGAAACGCATCCGATTTCATATACAGGAGCTATGTTGCTAGAGGTTTGAGAATGGAACTATGGCTTAGGTATCTGAAGATGGGTCAGTGAGCAATATTGGAAATGATTAAGTCTTGCTTTGTAGCCATAGGGATCCTGAGAATGAGAGAGACACACATACAATTGAATTACGTTGAAATGAAAAAGCCAACACCTACACTCCAGTCCAGAGTCGCTCTGGGCTCCTTCGCTGGACCATTTGCCACAGGAAGGCTGAGGGGATGTGCAGGAGCCAGGTGCTGCAGGCCTGCCCGGGAGATTGCTTTCCTGCAGCCAGAAGAAAAAAAAAAAAAAACAAAAACAAAAAACACACAAAGAAAAACCAACATCAGAAGGTCATACACAGCGAAAAATTTCCCTGGGGTAAAAACAATGCCTGAGTTAGTCTTCTGCATGCAAAAACCTTTGCAAATGTATTGGAATCTATGTCTCTGAAGTGCATGACCAAGACAGAGGGTGGCAGTTCTCAAAGACGGGGAGATTGAGGGGACCACTGTGGCGGGGGGCAGCATTGCTTCAGAAATAGAAATTAAAATGTAAGCCCCTATTCAGGGTAGAGGGCAGAATGCAGGTCTCTCCGTTTACAAAAAAAAAAAAAAAAAAAAAGACCGAGGGCCTGGTGGTGATAATACTTGGACAATTTTAAAGCTGTCAGAGGCTAAAGCCAAGAAAAGCAGGCTCCTGGGGTCTTCTATTGAAATTCCTCCATTTCCCAACAAAGTGTTCTCCAAGCGGGTCACAGCGCCAAGTTCAGTCTTGCTCCTCTCAAGAACATCCTTAAAGTTCCAAATGGGAAAAGACTGATTGGTAGCTGCCAAGAAATGGCACATGCTGAAAGAACACTATCTTACCAAGGCCCACGGAAAGATAAAACCAAAACACGTGGCTTAGATTAGGTTTGTAACATGGAACACAACAGAATGCAGGTCAGAAAGGAGGGAATGAATCAGGAGAGGTTGAGAAAGTCAGTCCTGACCTTGGTCTGCAAAGATAAGAAATGAGAGGAGCTGCTTTAGCAAGCAAATATGACAAGGGCAGGGGGAAGGGAAGGGAAGGGAGATGAGAGCCTGGTGGACTGAATGAGAACAGCAAGATCAAGGAAGAAAGCAGGGAGATCTTGTGATACCATCATTAATGATGTTAAGTTCAATTTCTGCACAGCTCCATGAAAAATGCCAGACAAGGGTCTCAAGCTTCAATATAAGTGTTGATTAATGAATTAACTAAGTGGCTCCCTGGAAAGGAGAGGGGTTTTCCCTCCATAGGACTGTCCACGTGTGCTTTGAGAATCACCTGAACTAGAATCAGGTGGGTCTTGGGACTCTGCAGCTGAGCCCTGAGTAGGTCTGAGACTGCGGCCCAGGAATCTGCATTGACACATGCTTCCTTCTGTAAGCTAACTTTCAAACCGCTCTATGGGAGTGTGGAAGGACTTTAAAGAGGATATGAAATGGAGAATCTCCCATATGCACCCTCAGGAAAGTGAAATTTAAGAACTTAGAGACTGATTTCAGGTTAATGCCTAATTTCCAGAAGACTGGAAAGCTATCCCTCAACCAATGAACATCCACCAAGATCGTCTCCCCATCCTCAAGCCGCCGAACTTGCTGCTTGGACTCAGGCTAGACTCCCTGCTCTCTGCACTCCTGGCCATAAAAACAGCCCACCCCAAATTGTTAATGGACTTGCCTGGGGCTTGCTACAGTTTTTGTGTCCTGAATTGCAACTCCTGTGCTATTCTCGAATAAACTCAATTTCCGGTAATTTGAGCTTGCCTTGGTTTCCCTCTTTCTTTAGGTTGACAAGAGCAAGTACATTTGGGCAAGTGGGGGAGTACTAACTTACCCAGGTTCACTCAGGGGGGGTGTGCCCTGAAGGAAAGCATCAGCAACTTCATTATGTACTTTACCCCCATTAGCTCTCAGCATCCTATCTCAGAGGATGTGAACACTGCAGTAAGAATCTGCCATCTCGGACACTGGACCTGCAGACACACAGGGCCCCCAGGGAGGCCCAGATCCTCAGACTCCTTCACCCATCTCACTATACAGAGGAACAAGGCTGCAGACAGGTAGATGGGGGAAAGGAAGGCAGTGATGGCCAGATGTACAGTGAATCCCATCAGGACTGAGCCCCCGAAGGGAAAGGAACTTGCCCAGGAAAGGGGGAGGAGTGAGAGCAGAATGTAAAAGCTCCATTGGAATCTAAAGGCAGATAATCTCTCTGTTCTGTTCACTGATTTCTGCAAACTCCACCCAGAAATGGGATTTGTAATTGACCAAGATCAACAGTAACCCCAAAACCCAAAGAAAGGCTGGGTAGAATCCAGAAAAGAATCCAAGATCATGCAGCCACTGATTAATGGTCAAGTATGTCTAAGAGCTCAGCAAGTGCCCAGCCCTTTTTTCCCCCTCTCTTATATTCCCACACAGGAAGTCTCAGAAATAACATCAAGGTCTTTAGTAGTTGGAAGTGATCCCATCGACTTGCCAGTAGCCTACTTTCAGAAGCTCCCACTGGGTCACACACAATGTACTTGCTTTTTGTAATCCCCCAAAGAGTCATTACAAAGGTGTAGACCTTTAATGAAGACATTCCGAAGACACCATCTTCTCTTTCCTCACTTTCATCAAGGCAAATAATTAACATCAATTTTGGCCCCTTCACTGACACCAACCCTTTTGGGTTCCCAGAGCCAATTACAAAGTTGGCAGACAGGTGGGGGGTGGGGGGTGGGGAGTGGGAAGTGGGGGGTTCCTCCAATATCAAGCAATTCTCAGACACCAGCAGGGTGTCCCAGAATTCAACTTAATTCTGACACTATCTAACCAGAGCTAGCATTGGATTCCATAGGCTTCGCGTTCAGTCCTACAGGACCACTCCCCACCCCCACTTCAGATGCCAGTCACAAGTCCCGGGCTGTTACCTGGGCTTCTGGCCAACCAGCTACAGATCGGAGGTTCCAATGACCTCCTCCTTAGGTTTGATTCATTTGTTAAAGTGGCTCACAGAACTGACAGAAACACTTAACGTTTATCCATTTGTTAAAGGAGATGATAAAGGTTATGAATCAACAGTCAGACAAAAGGGATACAGAGGGTGAGTTATGGGGAAGGGGTGTGGGGCTTCCATCCCCTCTCCAGGGACCTCCCTCTCGCAGCACCTCCACCTGCTCACCAACCTGAAAGCTCTCTGAACCCCATCCTTCTGGGTTTTTATTGAGGCTTCATTATATAGGCACGACTGATTAAATCATTGGCCATTGGCAACTGATTGAACCTTCAGCCTCTCCTCCCTGGAGGGAACGAGGGCTAGGATGGAAAGTTCCAACCCTCCCATCACAAGATCGGTCCTCATGGCAAACGGCCCCCACCCTTGGGTGGGGTGCAAAGCCACCTTCATTAACATAATGAAAAACGCCTCTTTCGCTCTTATCACAGGTTTCAGGAGTTGTGAGCAGAGGTCTGTGGATGAAGACCAAATATATCCGGATTACCAAATATAAATTGCTTATAAATCACAATATCGTAGCCCTTCACCCCAAAGTATATTCTGTTCCACTGCACAATAAGCCAAGAACACTGGAAGATTCTTATATGGTGCTCCTTCATGGCCCATGCTTTTTTCTCCACCTGAGTTCAAGAACTTGTGTAACGTTTTTCTTTAGGACTTTTCTCTGGCTTTGAAGGAGGGTGTATGTGGTTCTGAGTCACGGCTTCCATCACAAGAAAATCAGATCTCTGCAGCATCAGAATCTACAGGTCCCACCTTTGATTCCTTAAAACACAACATAAGTGTCAGTGTTCTAACAAAAGATAACAAACAGTGCCTGATCACAAGGCCTTGGAAGGGCTGAAGAATTCCTAAATCTTGGGTTACTGAGGAAAATACAAGTCCCTCGTCTTTTCATGAATAGCCACAGAGAGTTGTGGCCAGAATAAAAAAGAAGGGAGGGAATACAATTCTGCTGGCCCAGTGGACATCACAGGGCAAATGAGCTGAACTCTCCAGAAGCTGGAGGCTCTGACCACCAAAACCTGTGTCCCTAATTAAAACCACTGGGAGGGACACGCTGTCGAAATAACCAGATTAGGGCGCGAGGGCTGTGTGTGTCTCCAGAAGAGCAACGTGGCCATAAGAGAACAGACGTACCAACCTTCGACCCTGACTAAGCCCTGCAAGGAAAGTACAGTCAAATGGCACTCTTTCCCAGCCAGTGAAGAGAAACGATTAAGTAAGGGCTTTCGCTGCTTATTTATTCCTCGTTGTCGGTACAAATTTAAGGGTGGTTTTCTGTAACATGAATAGGGGACAATTGTATACGTACGACACACATAAACACTTACTAGAAGGAGAATAAGTAAGAACCATCAAAGCGGTACCGGTTTATAACTGTAAAGGGGCCTCACAAGAGGTTATTACATAAGAAGGAGAATTGGAGAAAGGTCTGCAGGAACTACAGCGAGGTAGGAGGTGACTTCCGATTACAGCTTTTTCCATCTTTATAAACAGCCGTGTGAGAACATCCTTTTCTCCAAAAGCTCATGTATATATACACCTTTTGTTCCAAAATAAGAAAGCAATTTCATTATTTCTCAGACCTCAAATAAAATTAGTGTAAGTTAGTTTTCTATGTGGTTCATCTTGGTTGTAGGAGATGACATTTCAGAGCGGTAGAATTTGGGGTGTGTTGAGGTGGCAGGGGTTTTATGTTACAAGATGCTCCGGTAAAAAAATCAATGGAGTTTCAACTTCTCATTTTTCTTCCTCCTGCCCAGAATCCTCCCAAACCTACAGTCAGTGAGACAGTGAGATCCTTCCTATTAATTTTACAACAGCACTTTGTTGGGATGGCTATAATGGCAAAAGAATCTTTGAAAAGGACAACTGCGATATTAACTGTGAAACATATACGAAAAGAAAATATTCTGTAATGCAGTTCCAGCCGCACAAAGTCACGGTTAATGTCAATTACCTGCCATGAAAGACCTCAAACATATTTAAAGTATAAAAGCCATCATACATTTTAAATAGCAATCTATTATTTCCTTTGCTTCATTCAATAAGACTACAAACTCCTAAAGGACAGGGCTCAATTCATCTACTAATCTTATTACATTCTAGCCCCAGGGTAGACACAGCAAATATACTATAAATGCTTTCTGAGTTAATGAATGAACTTGACCAAAAAGCTAAGCAAAACAGCTTGCTGATTAGATCAAGGGTTGAGAAATCTGATTAGGAAGATTTGAATTATATCCCAGCCT